CAAGTCAAAATAGGTAAAACCATCGCCATTGGATAGGAGCAGGTTTGCATCATCCAACTGCAAGTCAAAACTGTCTCTGCCTAGCTTGGCTACCCAGCCTACGGGGATGCCGCTGTGCTTGGGCGTGTCAAACGCGCCGATGTCTGCCTTGCGCCCCTGCACAAAATAATCCGTAGCCTGGCGGTTAAAATTTTGCTCAGGCTGCGGTGTAAAGGTAAAGACACACTTGCCGCTGGAGGCCCTTTGGTAGTGGCTGAGCGCAGTGTCTTGCTCCAGCAAGGCATCCAACAGGCTGAGGTAGTGCGCGGTGATGTTTTTCACATACGCCATGTCTTTGTAGCGCCCCTCAATTTTGAAGCTGCGCACCCCTGCCTGGATTAAGGCTGCCAGATTGGCAGACTGGTTGTTGTCTTTGAGCGAAAGCACGTGCTTTTCATGCGCAACGATGCCGCCCTTGCCGTCAACCACGGTGTAGGGCAGGCGGCAGGCTTGTGAGCAGTCGCCTCGGTTCGCACTGCGCCCCGTGTGTGCGTGGCTGATGTAGCACTGCCCGCTGTAAGCCACGCACAGCGCACCGTGAACAAAAAACTCCACCACGCTTTTTGCGGGGTCTAGCTGCTGGTGTATGGCGCTAATTTGCGCCAATGTCAATTCTCTGGCCAGCACCAGTTGGGTAAAGCCCACGTCTTGTAAAAAACGGGCTTTTTCAGGTGTGCGTATGTCGCACTGGGTGCTGGCGTGCAGGGCTATGGGCGGCAAGTCGCCGCTGGCTGCCATATCGGCAAAAGCCATGTCTTGCACGATGAGCGCGTCTACCCCAGCGTCATACAAAGCGCATACTTGTTTACGAGCAGCTTCCAACTCAGCGTCGTGCAAAATGGTGTTCATGGTGGCAAATATGCGCACATTAAAGCGGTGCGCATAAGCTACCAAGCGAGCAATATCTGCCACACTGTTGCCCGCACCAGCGCGCGCACCAAAATCTGGTCCCCCGATGTAAACGGCGTCTGCGCCGTGCTTGACGGCCTCTATACCAATTTCAGCATTACGCGCTGGAGCTAAAAGC